TTTTTTTTTTTCACAAATGGACACAAATGTTTTCACTGAGGGTCATGATGTTTATCTTCATTTTTAATACGTTTTTCTGTAACATAACATGTCATGTCTACTGAGCCCCTAAAGGGAAATTAAAAAAGGATAAAAGACAACAATTAGCCTTTTAGTGAAAGTAATGCTAAACTGGTAAATAAGTTAGATCATACTCAACAGATCAAAGACTTTTGTTATTGAAAGAGTTATTGACGTATCCATTTTTAAAATAATGTTAAATTCAGCATCAAAACTTCCAGTTTCCCTTTTATCTGAAAAAACATTTACAGTCGCACTGTAGTGTGGAATGTAGGAATAAAGTGGCTCAGTGCCGAAAAAACAGGATGTGTGTGTGTTACTATGAGGACACCACAGTACATATCAAAGAGATGATCAGCCGTTGACAGTTAACATTACAGGATAAGACTATGAAAATGGGAAATGTCTACTGTCAGACTACAGTTATAAGGTTACCTGTGTAAAGAAAAAGAAAAGAAAAAACAGCATTTGAATTAATATTTTCTTGAGCAGATCTTTTGAAAAATGTTATAATTGAGAATCAATAAACAACCAGAAAAATAGTTTCATATTTGAGTATTTTCCTTGTTAACGTATATTATTTTTTGTAGCTTCTATAGAATTTACCCAACAGCATCTCAGTGCATTTAGGCATTAAGAGGTACGATTTATGTGGCTTTGAAAAATTGCGAGGTTCTTGGTTTCCATACAGCGTTGTGCAGGGTTTACCAGTGATTTGTGATACTCTTTGTAAATACCTGATTGGCTCCTGATGACCAAGGTAAACTGATCTGAGCTGAAAGACAAGCAGTTCCTCAAAAACATTTGTTACAAGCACATTCCTTCAAAGAGATCTTCTGCATGCCAGACATGGCCATAAATTGAGCTACACTAACCAAACCCGACACTAGGTGTCCCTGTAGCTGAGCTAAGAACAGAAAACTGAAATAACCAAACAACCACAGTAGTCTGGGTTTCAGATGCTGTGTTCATCTGGTCTGATCAGGACTTGTGATGTAAACAAGGAAGGATCTGGTGCCTGGTATCTGGCCACACTTGTGAGACTAACCTAGACTAACCTGAGTATTGTTACTGACCAGCTGCACCACAGGAGCTCCGATTCTACTGCATTTTAATGACCTCCACAGACACTGGATCTCAAACCAATAGAGCATCTTTAGACTGTGGAAGGATGGAGATTTAAACCACAATTGTGTAGCAAATAACAAATGAAGAACAACAATTCATGTTAATGTGGAACAAAACTATGCCACAAAAACTTATGGCCGAGCACTTGTACCTGCTGAATGAATATTACATTTAAGACTACTGAAATAATTTAATAACCTTTAAGCTTTCAGTTCTCCATGAAAAGTAATGTTTGTTAAATGTGTACTCTCTAAAAGAGAACTCTAAATCTGCCTGATATTAGTTTGTGTAAAATGTGTTTGCTGTTCACTTTGTGCTCATCAACAGTAAAGAAGTAGAGTAAAAATATATTTGGGAATTTTAAGACACTATCAACGGCATAAAAGTGCAACAGCTTCAAAAGTGGAATCTAGCAAAATGTGGATGTATCAAAATGCTGCGTTATTTCTTCTTCTTCTTCATTTCTGTAATTCTGTCAACCAGTGCGTTTGAAACACGCCCCCTGGTAGGAAGTGGCATTGACAACACTGAACATGTCTCTCCTGACAAAAGACACAAAGTTCTTCAGAGGACAGAGAGGCTGATGGACGTGGCGGTCCTGTGATCGACAGAACGTGGTGTGAAATGTGACATCTTCGCCGTTGTACAGCACCCTGACGAACGGTTCCCCATCTTTGACTTTGCCACCTTTCTTCTTCTGCTGCTGCTGCGGCTGTGCTGGCGACGGACTCTTCCACAGCTCAAACACCACCCTGGCTGCAAAACGCGGGAACCTGGCTTCCTCCAGGCCCAGAGCGCTGAGCAGCGGGGCCATGGTGACGTCATGAGCAGAAGAGAGGGTGAAGATCTCTTCACCAGTTGCTCGCGGCTGCCGACCGGCCTCGCTGTTTTTGGCAACGCGCTCCAACTTAGATGCAGTTCGGTTGAGGTAGGGGTACATAGCCAGGACCGCGTACTTATGGTACAGCCCCGCTCTTCTCTTATCCACCTCGTCGTTTAGCTGGTGCCGGCGAATCGCAGTAAACTGTGCCATTGTGAGACATCCTGTGCTGTCCCCTGTAGTCACGCAAGGGAAGGACAGGCCATGGCACAGGTGGCACAGCAGGGAGTCTATAGGGTTTGCAGCTCGCAGCTGGCGAGTGGGAACACCCAAAGTCCGCGCCATGTCAACGTAAGTTCTCTCCAACTCAGCATTTGCAACTCGGAGCTGGTACTGCCTCCTCTGCTCTTCCTCCAGGTATCGGTTCCTGGATGGACAGTCACAGGCTGCGCCGCAGAACAGCGTGCTCCACTGATGACGCACGGTCAACTTCGTCCAGTCAAAGTCAGGGAGGAAACCATGGAGGAAGGCTAAACCACTCTGGAGGGTCCGACTCTTACCTGTGGTCTCCAACCACAGCTGACGTGGTGACCAATCAGAGGGTAGGAGATTGTGGCCCTTGTAGCCGTGGTGGAGGAGCTGCCCATTCCTTAGGTGCTGTACCACACCTGGGATAGAAGATAGGCGATGTGATTATGTCAATATGTTGACAAAATTCAGCTGTGTTTTGACACCAAAGGACACTAGAGATTCAGCTGCTAGACAATTATTGAGACATCATGACCATGAAGCACAGCTTCATATTTAGATGAATGTATGGGTCTGTCTGAACAATGACATCATGCTTACCTGTCTGAGTCAGCTCGCCTATCTCACAGACATTGTGGTTGGGCAGACGGGGGAGTGAGCCCAGTGGCGACTCCCAGTGGCCTTGTCCTCCCTGTGCCATGTGTCTGACAAAGGAGTCCAGCAGTGGGTGTGTGGGAGTCCTGTGAGTGGTGGGGGTGATAAAACTTATGAACACTGACTCCAGTAACTTCCTGTTTATCCCTTTTGCTCAAAACTGTGCAGGAAAAAAAAGTCCTCATTTTATGTGTAATTCCTTTGCTTTCTATTACAGTAAAACGGTCCTACAATTCCTATTAAACAACTGAAAATGCCACTGCTAGAAACTGCAGACTTGTTCAATCTTAATTCTGACACTAACCAGCAGGTGTCTCTCTAACACTGCTTTGGTACAACTGGTTGTTAACGCGTGGGTGGAAGTACGGAAAACTGGTGCAGGATTTAAAAAATAAAAAAAAAAGATTGCGACCTTTTTTTTTATTTTTTTTTTTTTTTTGCCGTGGGAACCACAGAAAGAGAAATGTGAGCGCGTGCGCACACGAACATACATTAACATCGGAACAGCGAGAGGAGCAAACAGTAATCCCATAGGTTAGACATCATTTGGGATTATGGTTTAATGAAAATAATCCAAAAGATGTGAGGCGCGATTATGGTTTCATGAAAATAATCCAAAAAATGTGATGCGCGTGCGCGCACATAAACATCTTCGCGCAAACACACACACACAGACACTTTCATCAGTTTCCATAGCGATAATGAACCCATCCGGAAATGTGGCTTTAAAAAACACTCTCATTATCCTTCAGTTTGACTTGCGATTGAATTGCTCCTGAAAAACAGTCAGATTGAACTGTCTCTGCTGGGAGACTGGCCGTCAGCAGACACAAGCACTAATGTGGACGAAGAGCCAGGCAGGCTGTCTGTTCAGATGGCTGTGCCCAGATTCTTATTTTAGAGCCCAATTACATTATACTGGGATTATGATCCCTGGAGAGGTTGTTAAAAAAAAAGTGAAGAAAGACAGAGGAGGATGAGGAAGGCAGGAAGAGTGGATTAGTTAAATGAATATTCAAACTAAATGACAGGAGAGAGGAGAGGACTGAGCTCTGTTAACCACAGACTGAGACAGGCTGGGGGGGGGGGGGGGGGGCGGGGGGGGGGTCAACCCGGGGAAAGGGC